TGTTATGAATCTATATGATATATGAGTTTCACTTTTTGAATTGAATTACTGAAATAAATGAACTTTGTCATGATATTCTAATTTATTGAGATGCACCTGTATGTGCTCTGTGCCCCTCTAGGTCAGTCCTCCAGTCTCCGTTGGTGCCATGGCTGATCCAAGCTGGTGGAAGCTGACCTTCTCACGCAAGAAGAAATCTGAATCTAAAGTTCTGTACGAGATCCCAGCTGAGTACGGCAGCAACACCGGAAACAAAGAGCACTCGACCAATAATCCCCCTCCAGACCACACGGACAGTCAGTTCAATGCCAGACTGGAGAAGATTGTAGATAAGTCTGCCACTAAGGGCCGCCAAGTCAAGGTCTCCCACTCCGGACGCTTCAAGGAGAAGAAGAAGGTCCGAGCCACGCTAGCCGAGAACCCGGATCTGTTCGCAGAGCACAACCTCAGTGACAAGAACCATAAAAAGAAGACTGACAAATAGCAGCACAAGCTTCCACAAAAAGCACATACTTGATCACAAATGTGTCATATATCAGTGTCACACCTATAAAAGCTTAGAGGAAGGCTGAAATACACACACAAACACAAGCACAACCATGTGGCACCACACGTGTAAGGTGGATAAACACTTGTGACCAGGCACCACACCCACGTAGATACTGTAACCAATGGACTCACACCCATTCAAACAACTGGTATCAGCGGACAATCACCACTAAACAAAGTACTGGAGACATTTTTTCTTCTGTCTCGCTCACACTGTTGTTATTTATCTTCAGAAATGATCTGTGACGTGAAAACTCTGCCTAACCTCATGCAAACATCCTTCTGAATGAACAGTAACTTTTTATTTTATTATTATGGATGTGACGTTTTGGAATTAAACTTCCTGTTTTTTTTTTTTATGTCTTACTCAATCAATACAGGAGTGAAGAAATGTGTCTGTAAAGCAAATTTTTATTACATTTTTATGACCAAAGCAAATAAAGACGTGATTTTGATGAGTTATGGATACACAGATATGTATTAATCTTTTCTGAAAAGTCTTAATGCAAATTTGTTTTTAATAAATGTTTCAAGATGAGTTGATAGAAACGAGTGCTTTGTGTTTGTGCAGCAGTACAGGCCTGTCGCTATTATTTGAGCATCAATGATTTAAGCCACTTGGCGTGTTAATTTGGTTTTAGGTTACAGAGACAAGTTGTTTTTTCACCGGAGCCTGTGTGTGCAGGTTCTGTTGACATGGTGATGGTAAGCAGACACTGACATTTGACACGCTGCCGTGCTTCTGCATTTTGTAATGTGGCAATCGTTGCATCAGTTCACAGACTGACTGCAGATGTGTTACAGCCACTAATCAGCTGGTAGGTGGAGGAAGAGGTCGAGTCTTTAGTTAAGTAAAAGT